GGGGAGGAGGGGAAGCAGGGCACGGGGCAGAAGCTTATGTCAGCCCCTATTTCCATGGGAGGCTTAGCATCGTGCATAATTACCGGTCTAATTTATGGCGCTTTTAAAATTGCTGGCGTGTTGATGGAACATAATGAAATTAGCCGCGAACGGCCCCGCCGCGCCGCCGCTGGCCTTTACGCGGTCCGTGTAACGCGGCACCGATAGCGAGGAGCTCCTCTAAAGTCAATTAGAGTGCACGTGATCGGAAATAAAGTCCGCGCAGCTCATGATCATCGGGGGAACGCCTTTGCAATTACAGAGCTCGCTTTGGTGACACTGTCCAGCAATCAGGAGCCCAGCAAGCGTAAAGCCGAGGGGCTGCTTTACGGTCCAAAAGCCTTTATCTTGGGCAGGGGTAGTGTTAACTATAATAATTTGCTCGTTTCGTTCAGACTCTGGTTTCGTTTGTTTCACTCAATAATTTGGAGTTTTCGTGTACTTTACGCCGTTACTGAGGTAAGGGGAACAGGAGAAATTGAGTAAAAATTCAGTCTTATGGGAATCACTGATTTCTTAAAATTTTAATACCACGTTAACTCATCAGCAGTCTTGGTACAGTAAAAGGATGATTATAATTTTTGTCTATTTAATACACATTTACATCCGTTTATATCTGAATCGTAATTTACACGGAATAATATATTTAATATAAATTATTATAAGTACAACATTGCTATGTAAACAGAAACAATAATTATACTTTACAATCACAGAATTGTTTTTTGTACAATATGTCGCAATAAATTCTCGTATAGCGGTTCAGGTATATATGCATATATTTTGTATTTCTCTATGTACATGGTTATGTTCAGTACTTCCAAGGACAAAAGTAAATTTCATAATTTTATGCTAAGTCCACAGTGTCTGCAACTTTCTAGAGCATGGACGTAGACGCAGACGCTATAAGTTCACAAATAGAAAAGAAAAATGGAATTTATCAATCTGGGCTAAAATAAATTACAACCAACATGAAAAACACAACGTTAGGACTTTGGCAGTTAAAGTACAACAATTAAGTACCTTTTGAAACGCTCATCATTTCAGGTTTAAATATTGGTACGTCTATTTTCTCACGAATGAACTTCCAGTTGCATGTTACAGCTTATCGTATACGCTGCACTTAAGAATCGACCCTGAGCGGGGCTTGAGGGCATCAGTCAGTAAAGCAGCTCTGTTTATCCCGCCCGAATCCAAAAATACTAAAATTTTGGTCATGAACGCGGTGGGGCATTACGAGCTTATTGCAGAAAGAACGCGGCACCCAAGACAATAGGAACTACTGAGGAGCACACTGACTTTGTAAGTACTACGCGACGCGCAAATGCAACAAAACCGTGACAAGCTCGAAATTAAAAGAGATGGCTGCTCAAACCCCTTATTACTAAAATAAGAAACTCACACATCCATCCATACACAACAGACTAGCACGCGCAACAACGAAACAAAAACATTAGGCGCCAACACGCAAAACTAACAAATAAAACAGAAAGAGTTGATCTGCGGCGCGCGACGCACGAAACAAAACTATACACTATCATGTTCATTATCACATAGGCAGGGGGCGGCCGGTCTAGGAGCCGCCGGCGCGCCCCCGGTCTCTGGCGGGGAGGGGAATCACAGCGATGGGATGGGTACGACGGCGTCCTCGCGGAGGTCAGTGCCGCTGTAGGCCGGGCTGGAGGCCGGACAGGAGGTGCTGGGGCTGCTGCTGCCCGCCGGCCATGTGCGGGGGCGGGGGGCCGTTGGGGGCCCCGCTGGGGGCGGCTCCGGGCGGCAGTCCCATGGCGGCCAGGAAGGGTGGTGGGTTGGGGTGCCAGAGCCCCGCGCCGGGCGGGAACAGGGGGAAGGGGCGCCCGGAGAAGCGGAACTTCTCCAACTCAGCCTCCTGGAGACGCTTCGACTTGGCGCGCCGGTTCTGGAACCATATCTTGACCTGCGTCTCGGTCAGCTGCAGCGACGAGGAGAACTCGGCCCGCTCCGCGATCGACAGGTACTGCTTCTCCCTGAACTTCTTCTCGAGGGAGAGCAGCTGCTGCGTGGTGAAGGGTGTGCGCGGCTTGCGGTTGGGCTTGTGCTTGCGCAGGTTGCAGCGCAGCGGCAGGGGGTGCGGGGGCCCGATGGGAGAGCCGGGCGGGCCGCCATGGGGACCTCCGGGGTGGCCGGCCAGCCGAGCGCCATCCACTGCAACAACAAGAAGGCCAAGGTTATCGACATGAGCTACAAATACAAAACACACTCTCCAGTCTCTCGCTGTCTCTCTCCCCCTCTCTGATCCACACGCGGCTGATCGTTACTCTGCGCGAAGGCCAGATCCGGTCGACACCGTTACGCGTTTAGTCGCTCGTTATACACCTCTGCCGCCTATTCCGAGGCTCGCAAACGACCATCGCCGACACTCTGTCAGCTGCCGGCTACCGTGCTGCACGGAACCCGTCAACAGGAGGGAAAAAAGGGGAAAGAGTTTAGCCGCAAGAGGGGAATAATGGAATGCCTTATTGGCGAAGAGGAAAGCGACAGCGCCGTGCGCTGAGAGATGCAGCGCGAAAAATACATTAAAGCTCATTTCGTGGTTTTTAATGGTCCCATTAATTGCAATTAGTAACATTTGCTAAGTATGTGCAAAACGAATAAATGGAACAGAGGATGACCACCTCAGAGCGCCTGAACGCTACCCGCCGCGCAACCAACCCAAGTGTCCTCGCGAG